GCTTCCCCAAAATATTTGAAATGAATACCTAGGGTTTTTTTTTTAATATAGAACTACATTTTCATATAAAAAAAAGTCTTCTAAAGGAGGAAGGATTTTGCAAACTAGTTTTAGATTGTGTTAGTGTTCAGTTCCTCTCCCTAGTCTGTAGCCAAAGGGAAAAAGAAGTCTTGTAGCTGTCTTCAGGCTTATGTGTTTTTTGAAGTTGGTAGCATTATTGTTGATAGAAAAAATTTCCTTCTTAATCGAATATCTACTTCTTTTACATACTTTGACCTGAGCGAAGGGTTTAGTTCACGGGTGGCTAGGAATATTTCTCTATCATGAAAAATATGAACTTGAAGAGTGAGTAGTAAGATTTTTCAAATAGCTGAATGCTTAAGCATTAGAAACAGCAGATTGGATCACTTTCAATAGGTGATTTGGAATCTCAGATGCAACTGATTTCTTTCTACTTTTTGACTAGTAGGTCTGGCTTTCTGCACCCATATGCTAGGGGGTAAAAATGTTATCAACTGGAGTATATTCTTACTCCCTGTGTTCTAGGAATTAGGGTGTCAGTTTCCAGAAGAAAGAGGGTAAAGTGTTTCGGGGACTATTTCCCTTTTCATTCTGTTGGTTGGCAGCGTCACATTTCTGTATCCAGAAAGGCCTTTGTGTTTTAAACCAACATGAACATTTTATAAAGTTCATTTAGGAAAAAAAAAAACCTAGAGATGTAAAGCAACGCCTGTTATTAAATTACACGTTATCACTGGGCTCGAAACCCACCCCCTATAATTACTTGTGAAAGTCTGTATTTATAGAATAATGTACAGTACATCTAGTTTAGGTACAACAGTACAACCAAGGTAGAGCGTGCCACAAAATCGCACAGGCTCCACACTCTGCCCTTCAGAAATTAAGATGGTGATGAAGGATTCTTGGCACAAGGTGAGAGGTTAGTCTTCCCTTGTCCAGGTTTGCAACCCCAACAGCCTGGGCTGTGGAGAGGGATTCTGCTCACCGGACAGTCTGGGGCGAGACTTCATGGGCTGCTCAGGTGCACAAAAGCCTTGGCTGTGCCCTACTCCTCGGTTCCTTCAAGGTCTTCTGTCTTCCCAGTACCGAGCCCAGTTGCTTGGAATGCCCTGAATCTGTAGATTTGATTCCTGGGACACCGCTTAGCCTCTTTACCATGTGGCCATAGCCTGGACACCAAGCTGGAGAGGCCGATTACCCCGAAACCTGAGAAGAGAGTATGGATGAGTCAGCACCATCCACCACCACCACTCCCTGAGAAGTAACCAGAAACACGTGCTGCTCTGGGCATGCCACCGTGGCAGGGGCAACGGGGAACACAAGAAAATCAGACAGGCAGGGGTTTTTGCAGGCTGGGGGTTCCCAGCTGGTGAACAAGGCTGGCCTCCATATAAGATTCTGCTGTGGCCTCGTCTGCAGAACAGACACATAGGTACCAAGGTGGAATTTCGTATTGTCAGATTTGGAGTCCTGACATCCAGGATCCAGTGGGTTGGGATAGTATATCCTTTGCCATTTTGAAAAAAAAAAATAATACTACATTTTCATAATGGTAGATGTGTCAGATTTGCCAGAACATCATTCTCTGGCTGAACCTCTGCTCTTTGAATCACTTTCTTCTGGAGTGTTCTGTGGAAGAGTGAATTTGGTGATAGACCTCCACACATTTTCCACAAATGTTTTCAGTGTTTGCAGCTCGTCCAGGGTGGGGAGAATTATCTTTTTTTTTATTTTATTTTATTTTTTTAAAGTAAACTCTACCCTTAATGTGGGGCTTGAACTCACTACCTGGAGATCAAGTGTCACATGCTCCATGGACTGAGCCAGCCAGACACCCTGAGAAGAATTATCTTTTAAAATAGGAAGCCATCTTTAGGTTCACTCATTTAAAAAACAGCTAAGTTCTGAGCTTCCTAGTTGTACCTTTTATTTCCTAGAAGAACCAATTGTTTCTCTTCCTTTCAAAAAAAAAAAATCTCACCATCTCTTACACTGCTTTGATACTGTGTGTCATATTTCTTTCTATCTCTCTTTTTTTTAATTGTGGTAAAATATATATACTATAAAATTTACTATTTTAACCATTTTTAGGGGTACAATGTAGTGGCATTAAGTATATTCACAATGTTGTACTACCACCCCTATTGTCCATTTCCAGAGCTTTTTCATCATCTGAAAGCCCTACACCTGTGACTCACTAAGTCTCAGTCCCTCTCCCCTGCCCCCACCCCAGCCCCTAAGGATCATTCCACTTTCTGTCTCTGTGAATTTGTCTAGTCTACGTACCTCATCTAAGTGCAGTCATAGAATATTTGTCCTTTTGTGGCTGACTTATTTCACTTAGCATATTTTCAGGGTTCGTCCCCATCATAGCATGTGTCAGAATTTCAGGCCATTTTGAGATTAATTATTCCACTGTATGTATGTACATTTTCTTTATCCATGGACACCTGAGTTGCTCCCACCTTTAGGCTGTTGGAGATGATGTGCCTATGAACCTTTGTGTACAGTATGTATCCTGTTGGATAGGAAGCAAGTTCTTTCTGGCTCTGTTTTCCTTTTCTCCGTGCACATCCATCTTATCTGCCCAATGAGATAATAAATCCCACAAGTTTAGGACCAGTCTTAAACTTCCTGGTATTTTTCACCTCCTTTTTATCTGTTTCCTTCAATATCTTGCATAGTACAGGGATACAAATACTTGACACTGATAAGAATAGGTAAGGAAAGCTGAAGTTAAATCTAAAAACCCTGTTTAGAGGTACACAGTATTTAAAGCATAATTTTATTTTATATTTACCTGGGCCGTGTCTTTGACTTGTTTCTCCAAGCTCCACTGAGCGGGGTCAGAAGTCCAATTGTGTGTTGAGGTCAGTGATGGGTGAACGCACCGTCCCTGTACACTCATTTTCAAGTGTTTAATAACAGAGTTAACTGCCAAGAGGTACGCATGGGGTCATGAGTCAGGAAAATGTAGATACGTCTAGCTTATTAGAATGTGGATCTGTAGAAGCTTTTCTGTTGTTGTTTTTCTCTTTTGGATTAAGAACAAATACCAGGTTCACTCAGGAGATAACCTCTGGGTCCCTTGTCCTGAGGAGTTGCAGGAGGGAAGATGTCAAATGTCTCTTACAAAAATAGGTCTTCTGCACGTCCCAGAGGTGTTCTAGAAAGCCAAGTTGGCTTAATATTGCCGGCTGCAGATGATCCCCACATAGAAACCTTGCAGTAGTTTACTTAAAATGCACATTTGGGATAAGTGTGAATTTGTATCAGACTTACAACTGCCAGTTGCATTGATAAAGCGTTTAAACCTATTTTAAAATGCATTTATCTTTGCTTGGCACATACGTATTGCTTTGTGAAGAATCAACGTTTTGTTTTTCCAGTATATTGAAGATAAATCCCACATTAGAAAAATGTTCCTAAATGGGCCTTTGTTTAAGGCTTTTAAAGTAAACAACAACAAATTGGAGGAGGAAGATTTTTGAAGGTGCTGTGATGAAATTTCACTGGCTGGTTTTCTAAATTTAATCAGGTGTGCCCACAGAGAAGGCGACAATGAAGCTATTCAGGCTGAGCAGCAGAAAACATAGGCTGACCAATTGTTTACACCCTGGCAACTGGGTCATTAATAACTTCCATTTTTAGATCAGTTACATTGGCTTTGAGGAGAGACAGCCAGTCAGTGTTTTCAAAAGGATAAAAACCTACCTGCATATAGCATGCGAATAAAGAATATGTTCTTTTATAAAGGTCTGTTGGTATTTCCCACTGCAAGGAAATCCAGTCTACTCCCTTCTGCGTGCTTAGCGCTGTAATACTAGCCCTTTGGGGGCTAATGTCTTAGGTCAAAATGTTAAATTTGTAGCTGCTTTGGTTCACAGCAAATCTCTGCTTTATTTGGGAAACTTTTTCTTTCCTTTTGGTATAATTCAAGAAGGTATCTTTAAATCCTTTCCATGAACCTTACTAATAAAACAGTTCATGAAACAGTTTCACCTCTTTACACCCACGGTCCTGGCGTTATGGGCGCCTTGTTTCATGGACAGGTCATGCCCCCTGTGCAGTTTGACACATCTCTCCAGCCATTTCCTTCCTGTCCTGCGACCTGCCCCACCATCCAGAAGTCACAGCTCGTTCTACTTGCCCCTCTCGTGCAAGTTGCAGGCGACCTGAGTGGAGTCTGTCGCTCCCTGGAGTGGCTTCGGAAGAAAGATGTCGATGCAGAGAGGCTTCTTTCTGGTAATCCCATTGATGATTGTACATGGTAACCTGAGGAAACACGGGACTAGTTCACAAGACATATGTAACGCAAAATCTGCATATGGGAAATGGATTTAAAATATAAAAGTCCCCTTCTATGGATATATGGGTCGTGAGCCAGCTGGTGGTGTCCCTAGGTGACACCAGCCACCTCATTTGCAGAAGAGGAGCCAGAAGACAAACCCAAGCTCATTTTCCCGTTCTTTTCTGCACTGCGTTTATTCCTAGACCTACAGAAGGCCCCTATTTAGATCGTCACTGTTATGACAGCTACATCATTTATGGTTATAGGGATCATATCCCTGTTCTGTGTTCAAGGCAAGCTTCTCTGCGCACATCAGCCTGAGAAATCACTCCGGTTTCTAGATTTTTGTTTAGTCTTTTTTTTTTTTTAACCCCACATTCGCCAGTGAGGTGGTTTGGATTCTTCTTAAAAGGCTTTCGGCGGGGGGCGGGGGGGGGGTGGGGGCTGCCTGGCGGGCTCAGTCCTAGAGCGCGCGACTCTTGATCTCAGGGTCATGAGTTCGAGGCTCACGTTGGGTGCAGCGATGACTTAAGAGAGAGAGAAAGAAAGATAAAGGCCTCCAGTGTGTTGGCACCCACCCAGTCGCATTCCCCCTTCCTCGTCGCCTGTGTGGGGCTCTCGCCCGAGCACATCTGTTCCTCTTTATGCACACCAGGAAAGGATTAACGCAGCTGTCTCTGCTTTTCAGATTTGACGGAAGAACGGCTGGGGGACAGCGGTTCGGCCGACAACACGGAGACCTTCAGCGACAAAGACGCCGACCAGAGGAGCTCCCCGGATGTGGCCAAAAGTAAGGGCTGCTTCACCCCCGAGAGCCCCGAGATGGTGTCGGTGGACGAAGGGGGCTACGCGGTCCAGAAAAACGGAGGCAACCCGGAGAGCCGCCCCGACAGCCCCAAGTACCACGCGGAGCAGAACCACCTGCTGATCGAGGGCCCCTCGGGGACGGTGTCCCTGCCCTTCAGCTTGAAAGCCAACAGGCCGCCCCTGGAAGTGTTGAAAAAAATATTCCCCAACCAGAAGCCCACGGTGCTGGAGCTCATCCTGAAGGGCTGCGGCGGGGACCTGGTGAGCGCCGTGGAGGTCCTGCTGTCTAGCCGCTCCTCGGGGTCCGCGGCGGCCGACCGAACTGCGGCCGAGCCCGAGGGGCTGGTGCTGCCCCCCAACGGGCACATCTTTGAACACAGCCTGAGCTCCTACCCCCTCTCCTCCTCCAAGTGGTCCGTGGGCTCGGCCTTCAGGGTCCCGGACACGCTGAGGTTTTCTGCCGACTCTAGTAACGTTGTCCCCAACCCCTTGGCCGTGCCCCTGCAGCATCCTTTCCCCCAGCCGCCCCGGTACCCGCTGATGCTGAGGAATACTTTGGCGAGGAACCAGTCGAGCCCCTTTTTGCCCAGCGACGTCACCCTGTGGAACACCATGACCCTGCAGCAGCAGTACCAGCTGAGGTCCCAGTACGTGGGCCCCTTCCCCTCTAACTCGGCCAGCGTCTTCCGAAGCTCGCCTGTCCTCCCCGCGCGCGCCCCCGAGGACCCCCGCATCTCCATCCCCGACGATGGCTGTCCTATGGTGGCGAAGCAGTCCATTTACACCGAGGAGGACTATGACGAGAGGTCCGACTCCTCAGACTCTAGAATACTCAACACCTCCTCTTAAAGTTGCTCCCTGCTGGGTGGTGTGACCAGGTGACGTTTTCTGTGCATTTGAAACCCCGGGGGCACCCCACCCCCAGGAGGGGGGCCACATCCTGTGTATACCCTTTACTTCTGTTTGACAAAGTGACTGTGCTTGATTCTATACCTTAGCAATAAAAAACATAACTTATTTAATTTCTTGCACTTCATTGGAAAATGCCAAATAGCTCTGCTCTGTGGCTTTAGTGCTGAATGTTTGTTGTAAAGGAGAGTCTAATGCTAAGAATAGTCTTGGGAAAGCCGGGTCTGCCGCCAGATTTATTTGGGGATGGAAAGCTGAGGGTCAGCTTTGCTCCCAGACTCAACCCGGAATGTCCGAGAAAATAGTAATACTTGAATGCGGTTTCCCAAAAGAGGATTCCTCAGGATATGTAAAAACTAAAGCAAGTGGTTCGGTTGCAAATGGACTATAAACAGGGACCTTACATTCTTATGCTAAAAATCCTTCTTGCATCTTAGAGAGAGACTGCACTTAGGAATAGAGTGAACCACTCACATGCTTTTTAAGCTTGGACAGTTTTCAGAGACAAACTCCATTAAGAATTCTTCTTCTCACAGGGCTGAATTGAAACATGCGTGATGTCAATGTAAATCCCATCACAGCTGTGAACTGCATGAAATGTATTGTGAAATGAACACAAGATTAAGCTTTGTCAGGTTAATGTAGCATGCTGAGGACTCTAGAAAAAAAAAATAAACTAAGGAGACCATCTTCGTTCATGTCATTTCTACTTGTGGAAAGAGGATCCCTAAAGAGAGAAGCTCCATGTGAAAGCTACTTCCTAGCGCAGGGGTGAGGAATCAAGGGATCTGTGGAACGCGACATTCCTTGAGAAAAATGAATGGCAAAGTTTGGGGGCTTCATTCAGAAACACTGGGAATTTATTGTTTAAGAATAGAGCTCAGTTCAGTCCCTCCACTCATTCATTTAATTCTTCAGCAGATATGTAGTGAGTGCCTATGTGTAAGAGAATGCTTTTTGTCTGCTATTATCCAAGTCACCTGTCCACGAGTCCAAGATAAGCAGGGATGATAATGGAGAGTCCCATTAAAGAATAAAGTAAAAACGAAACAATTTACAACGTGAGGAGTAAGTAAAGTACTTAGCACTGTACCTGACATAGAGAAAGCCCTTGATATATGAGAGCTATGATTGCTTTTAATTAAGCTCACTAGCTTTTGCATTCTTGCTCAGATATTTTAAAAAGAGAGTTTGCAAATAATAATATTCAGTGGTGCCCACACTAACCACTTCTCTTGTTGTGTCCATTCTTCAAAGCGCTTGAAAGCAAAGATGACCGCTTAAGTCAGACAATAAACTTACAAAGTGAGAGGGGAAGTAAGTAAGCAAATAAATAAAAGCCTCTGCATGACGAGGATGCAGAAAGAGCTCCCAATTTGAGAATAAGTCTGGAAGGGCTCTTCAGTCTGGAAGGGAGAAGGGCAAATCCCCTTGGCCTGAGATACTCCCTCAGCTGAGGGACAGGAGCTCCTATCAGCTGCCAACCACGCTTGGGATGGGTCCCAGGGGGATAAAGAAAAAAAAAACCACTTAAAAATCTCATCTTTATTTCTATAGGACACTTTGGGAATGAGAATCTTTGATGGGGAAAAATTCTTTATATTATTTGGACTAATACGTATTTCATGCACATAGGTCCCTACCAGGGAGTTTAAAAGTAAATACTATTGTTGTTAGGCTTGTATTTTGACATTAGCATATATGTCAGGGAAGAAAGCGAGGGAGTGTAGAAGAAAATAATTGGACCCCTGTTTCTAAAGACCCATGTCTGGGACATCTTATGTGGTGGTGATGGGCTAATGTCTGGGCCTACCTAGGACAAACGTATTTCCCAAGGTATGTTTGTCTCAGAAGCTTATCTGCAATCATTTAACAAGCAACAGTGGTAACAGATCCCCTGTGAGCCCGTGGTGCTACAAAATCTGTCTTTAGCTGTTACTACTTCAGGCTGAACGACCCGGATTGAGCAACACTCGCCCTAAGATGCAGTGTCTTTACAGCATGATCCCCCCCCACCCCCGCCCACAGATCACCAAACTCATGGACTCCTTGTGACAACGGCCAGCAACATGGACTTATCTGTAAGGCAGCGAACTCCTAGGCTAGTGCGGGTATGTTTGATCCTCAATGTAATCTTCTGAAGCAGGATATATTTATTTCAAGGGGGGGTGGTAAGTGTGGTCTGGGGTCAGATGGGAGAAATTGGTTCAGATCCTATATCCTTTGTCCAGCAGTCAGTTTTGCTTCCTCTGCTGTCCTATGGTCTGAGCCCTCTCTTAGATTTGAGGTCAGCTCTCAAAGACCATCCTGCTTTGACGTGTAGCCCACGGGCCCTCAGATACTCACATAAAAGAGAAGAAATCAGCCAACTCCTTCTGGCTAAATCCCATCTGTCACACAGACAAGTAACAGGGTGCTTGGCGGGTCACTTGCAGCTGGGGCAAGCCAGCCTTATGGAAAGTTAATCCATGTGAAACCGGGGCGCCTCTCTCCCCTTCTAGTGAGGACCTGCCAATTGCTCGTCTTAAATGCTTTGTTCATCTACTATGTGAGTGGGGGTGGGTCAGTCATGTTCTACAGCGGTTTGTCTCCAGGTGTGATCCGCGCACCCCAACGCTTCCCTTTCTAGTTTGGATTCCTGAGCCCTGCTTGCTGAGCTCAGAATCTCGGAGAGCCTCAACACCTCCGTTTTTATCGTCCTCGGCAGGTGACTCTTAAACTCACTAAGACTGGAGCACATCACGTCCTTGGGTTTTCGTCTTAGACCTATGCCCAGTAAAGGAGCCGAGGGAGAGGTTTAAATCCCTACGTCCTCCACTCCGGCCCTCGACGTAGTTCACGTAACTTTAGAGGCAATGTTAACGTTTGAATCGAGTACACATTTGAGATCAGAAGTGCCTGTTTTTGGGAAACCTTTGATTGGCAGAGCACCTGATCTTAGTATAAATGTGCTCCCCTTACCCTCAAGGGGAATGCCATTTAAAGCTCCCGAGATTTTTCAGTGCTGCTGACCCTTAAGGTGTGCGTGATTCCAAGTTTACTAGTGACACCTGGAAGTAGTTTTTGCTCTGGGGCTGGAGCTTTGAGTTTTAAGACACATCAATAATTCCCTTCCCCCCTCCTAATTTTACTGAGATATAATCGACATAGAATATTGTGTAAGTTTAAGATGTAGGAGGTGACGATTTGATAGGTGTATATATTGCAAAATGATTTCCACCGTAAGGTTAGTTAACACATCCATCACCTCACATAATTACGTGTGTGTGTGTGTGTGTGTGTGTGTGTGTGTGTGTGTGTGTGTGTGGTGAGAACATTTACCACCTGTTCTCTTAGTAACTTTCAAGCATCCGGTGTAGTATTGTTAGATGTAACCACCAGGCAGTACATTGGATATCCAGAATATCTTACGACTGTAAGTTTGTGTCCTTTGACCCACATTTCCCCATTTCTCCCACCCCCCCCCACCCAACCAATCCCCTGGCAAGCGTGATTCCAGTCTGTTTCTGTGCATTTGGCTTTTTTAGATTCCATGTAGAAGTGAGATCACACAGTACTTGTCTTTTTGTGACTGGCTTATTTATTTCACTTAGTATGTGACATTTGCTTTCTCTCTTGGTCTGTTGATGGACACTTAAGTTGTTTCCATGTCTTGGCTATTGTGAATAATGCTCCAGCCAACATAGGGCAGAGATACCTCTTTGAGATATTGATTCCTTTTTCTTCAGAAATATACCCACAAGTGGCATTGTTGGATCATAGAGTATTTCTGTTTCTAGTTTTTTGAGGAGCTTCCATACTGTTTTCCATAGAGGCTGCACCAGTTTACATTCTCACCAATATTGCCCAAGGGCTCTCTTTTTTAAAAATGTAGTTTTGTTTTTTCAAAAGATCTTATTTATTTGAGGGAGAGAGAGTGCAAGCACAAGCAGGGGGAGGGGCAGAGGGAGAGGGAGCCTGACGTGGGGCTCGATCCCGGGACCCCGAGATCATGACCTGAGCCGAAGGCAGACGCTTCACCGACTGAGCCAGCCAGGCACCCCTCAAGGGCTCCCTCTTCTCCTCATTCTTGCGGGCATTTAGTTTCTCTTCTCTTTTTGATAATAGCCATTCTAACAGGTGTGAGGTGATGTCTTCCTGTGAAATATCAATGCTCTTGATGGGAAAAGCAAGAGTAGTTGCACAGATGTTTTGAGAAGCAAGGCATTTCTTAGCCAGGTACATGGTTGTGGTTGAAGTTAATAGAGTGACTGGAGAGGTGACAGGGACCAGGAAGAAGGGGCGGGGATTCTGAGCCCCTGGTCCAGGCTGTGGCCGTTAGCTAGCAGGCTTCTAAGAGCCTAAGAACATTTAAAATTTACAGAAGGAAATTGGACCAGAGAAGGAGGTATGCAGTGGGAGCAGTCATGTATCATGGGGTCCGCTCTTTAAGGGACTCATCGTCCAAGGTCCCCAGGTTGCCCTGTGGCTAGGTTGATGGGAGGTGATAGGAAGGGGGACATCCTGGGAACATTTGTTGGGTGCCCAGAAAACAGGCGCTGATTGCCTTTGATCTGACATATTTGAAAAATGGACATGATTTCAGGGCATACTGTTTCAGTCATTCATTCTTTATATGCACATTTACTCAGCAGAAGTGAGTTGAAAATAAGATGGATGCTAAATTTATATGTTAATTTTAATATTGAAGCTATCCTATACTTGAAGAATAAGATCAATACTTCATTTTCATTTCTTATGTGGTACTGAACGTTGTCATTACTGGAAAAAAAAAATCATTTCCGAGTGCATCCTCCCAAATTCCAATCTCAGAGGGCAGAGGAGGCTTGGGAAGGGCGATCTCGCCTCTTGCTGATGGTCTGTTCAGTGAGGTGCTCTTAGTGTCCTCACAGTATCGTTTACTATTTCAGTGTGAAAGGTCAATAAAAAGGGTCATGGTTTTCCTCAAATTACAATGGAGTTCATTTACCGATCGGATTCTGAGAGTCGGCAGGGGTGTTAGGCTGTGTCAGGAGTTTCATATGTCCCACGGGCAAAGCCACTGGACTTAACTAAAAGTAA